TAGATACTCATTATAGCGTCACGTGACTTTCGCTGTCGTAACAGTATTATGTCTCAAACAAAGCACTTAATGTATGGGGAAAATACTGATGTAAAAGATAACATTTTAAGTTTTGAAATTGTAAGAGAAAACAGAAAAGTTGAGAACCTAAAAAGTGGTAAATCCGCTGAACCAGACAACTTTTATCCTAGAGTTTTAAAGGAACTTAAAGATTATATTTGTGAACCGCTAGCTAATGTTTTCTATAGGTCATTGAGTAGTGGAAAAGTATTAGAAGATTAGATGTTGGCTAATGTTAGTCCAATATTTAAAGTAGGTGATAAACATTGTCCATGCAATTATAGGCCAGTTAGTCTTACATCAGTAATTGGAAAGGTTTTGGAGAGCGTGATTAAAGATGCATTGCAGAGTCACTTAAAGCAGTTTGATATAATGTCAAAAAGCCAACAAATCTTTAGGGATTCTTTGAGGATGCTACTGTAAGAGTTGATGAAGAAATACTGTGTATTTGCTTTACCTTGATTTTCAGAAAGTGTTTGATAAGGGGCCTCACAAAAGACTTGTTACAAAAATCAAATCTGTGGGTGTGGTTGAAATGTTATTAAATTGGATAGAAAAGTGGCTGGAGAGTAGAAAGCAGAGAGTAGCAATAAATGGAGTTAGATCTGACTGGATCACTGTTACAAGTGGTGGGTTCTCTGTTGTTTATATTAATGATATTGACTCTGGTATGACTAACAAAATTTTGAAGTTTGCAGATGACATTAAGATTTTTGGGGTGGTTAAATGTATCAAAGATGCTGCAGACATACAGGGAGATTTAGATTATTTGATGCATTGGGCCAATACATGGCAGATGACGTTTAACTATCCAAAATGTAAGGTGATGCATGTAGGTTTTCACAATTCAATTTATTGTAACAGTTTAAAGGGGAATGCATTAAATACTGTGGTTGAAGCAAAAGATCTTGGATTTTTGATAGAAAAATCACTTAAGTAATCTAAACAGTGTATTGTAGCTAGCAATATGGCTAATAGGATTTTGGGTAGCATCTGTAGAAATATTGAATACAAGACAAGGGATGTTATTGTTTCAGTGTATAGATCACTTGTAAGGTCTCATTTAGTCTACTGTGTACAGTTTTGGGCTTTCTTCCTCAAGAAGAACATTGAATTGTTGTAGAAGTTTCAGAGAAGAGCCATTAGGATGATACATGGGATGTTGGGAATGTCCTATGAGGAGAGGTTAAAATCTCTAAACTTGTTTTCTCTGAAGAGGAAAATTGATTGAGGTGTTTAAGATTATAAAGAGTATTGATAATATAGATCCATCAAACTTTTTGTTTTTAGCAGTAAAAACAATAGGACAAGGAGTCATAAATTCACATTTTGGCAGCGTAAGAGTCGCCTGCAGTTTACACAGTATTTCTTTTGAAACAGGGTGGTTGGCTTTTGGAATGAGCTGCCTTCAAGGGTGGCGGTGTTAGAAATTTTAACTGAGTTCAAGAAAAGATTGGAATACATGAATACATGAGTAGTAAGGGATGGTTATAGTTGGGAGCTGGAAGGGACATCCTTGACGGGCTAATATGCTCCTTTTTGTCCCTTTAAAATTTTATGAAAGCTACACATTGGGCAATCAATTGCACCGCAGGGAATCGAAGCCCGGATTTTAGCATTGTAAGCCCGGAGAGACATAGCTATCGCACTTGAGGACTTCACTTATTGATGAAAAAATTAATTCGTTATTGTCATGTGGAATAGACTTGGCATTATTTTTTACCAAAAGAACTTGTCCAACGATAGAACACATATTAAAGCAATATCTTGTAAATTCGTTGCAAAAGTTATCCTATGCAGCCTTCATTCTTGTTACGATGATTGATGGAAGTTTTTATTTTACGAAAAAAATAAAAAAAATTAATATGATGGCATGACACTTGTCAGTATTTCAAGTTGTTTTGAGAATATTCAATATTTACTGTTGCCTGTGAAACAATATTATAAGTTACCGCTAATTTTAAAATGGCGGGTATACCTGATAAGTCATGGCAACCTCCGTTTGTTGTGTTGGAAACCACGTAAGGCTACCTTTAGTTTTTAACGTTAAGTGATATTAATATAATTTTAAACAGTGTAGTTGATTTTAGTAATTGAAAACTAATTAACTATTTTTCGACAATACTATAAATTCTCTGTCAATATAGTTTTAACATTTCTAATAGTAATAATAACACTGTTAACACGTGATTAAGCCTAATTGAATAGTTCCATATCGGCATGCAGCTTCACTGATTTCAGCCGTTTGTTTGTGTTGTTAGTTTATAAATTATATTATTAACATCGATTTACATTTTATAGTTTAGAATTATAAAGGAGTGGCCATGACATATGTCTTTTAAATTTGCGAACTGTCTTGGAAAATATAACATTTCATCTAGATTCATGAATGATTAGATTATAGAATATAGAAATAGAAGGCTTGGGGGAATGATTGAGATTCTTTAGGATTGTTAGAGGTTTGAATTCTATAAGTTCAAATGATATTTTTCATTAAAATTCAAGCAGAAAGACTAGAGCTTAAGTGAGTTAATCAATACTGTTCCAATATCCTTTTCTTTAATCACATTATTGAGTTGGTTGTTTTACATTTGGTCCAAATTATGATAACCAAAAGCACTGAGTGGCAACTCCAGTCAGGCACCAGTAGATTAAAAACTACATGATAATGCCTGCAGAAGCAAAATTGGTGAAAAACTACTAACCCTTAACTTCTAACCACCATGTAACCATGAAACTATACATACTAGAGCTAAATGTACTAAGTGTGGCTTTACAAACTTTGGCAAGCTAGAGCAATCCCAGGAACTGTTTATTAACAATTGAAGATGAGTTACACAAGAACAGTTCATAAGCACTGGACAAGTGCTGAGTGGCAACTCTAGTCAGGTACCAGTAGATTAAAAACTACATGATAATGCCTGCAGAAGCAAAATTGGTGAAAAACTACTAACCCTTAACTTCTCTTTTAATTTGGCAGTTAAGTATTTATAAACTACAGCTCAACATGTATTAATGTTACATGTTTACAGTTATTAACATAACAATGTGTCATAAGCCAGTCAACAATAAACACATTAATGCCAAGTGTACAATTCTTGACATAACACTTTGTCGCAAGCCAATCAATAACAAAAGTCTTGTACAAAGTATGAGACTGTTGAATTACATTATACTCAGTATTTTAAGCTCAGACAAGATGACTGCACAAAATGTAAGTAGGAAACTTGTAAGTTTTTATTAATAAAATATGTGTGTATAATGTATGATGATATGATAATATATGCAATGATTATCTGTCAACAGATGTCTGCTTCTCAAGAAAATGAAACTTAATTCCTCACTTCTGTCTGTATTAGTATTAAATATAGTGAAATCATTAATGCACAATGAAATGAAAAGTTGAAAATTATGAAATAAAATCAAACACTTTTTCATTTTTAGAATCACTGCAAATTGTAATAGTTACAATTATTTATCCTAATACCTTCAGCCTCTAGCCTTTTTGCATATGTATTTTAATAATTTTATGGTTTTATAATTGTACTTTGGAACCCCTCTCTGCATGAAAGCAATAAATCACAACAGAATGTTTTTGGTACAAGTTAGGATAAACATTTGATCAAGTTACAGACATGCGCTAACCAGGAGAACTTTCCTAGCTTCTTTATCAAATTAAGTTTTATTTAAATTTTTCCTATGTAAGAAGTTTTTAGGTTTTTTTTCTACAACTAAATTAACTTCTCTCTCTTGTCCTTCCCAATGTTATTATCTTAGCTAATCTTTTGTATGGCATCTTGTCAGAAGCTTTTTGAAAGTTAAAGAACATTAAGTCCACACTCTTTGGATCATCAAGTCAACAATTAATAACAGTTTAATGGTTTTTATCCCGTTGGCTCTGAGGCAGAGTTTATGGGAGATCAAGGGCAGACTGGTGAAAATTTAGACTCTATTTTCCCAGCACCTTCCTTTGCTCTGACAGCTACTTCTGAACCTTAGACAGACATCCTGCCTCTTGCACCTTTTTTCTAAAAACTAATATGCCATGTTTGTTATGTTTTAAGTATTTATCCTGTGGCTTATAAATCTTCGTCATCTTTATTGGGAAAAACTAGTTCATCAGATTACCTGATCCTTCCACCTTTGCTAGACATTGCAGTGCACACAAGGAGATTTGCCTTTAAATGGATGACTGGCTTCTTCTTGTCCCTTGTCATTTGGCAGAAGTAGACATTCAAACTCTGTGATATCAGAAGCTGCAAGAGTTGGGTGTCTTGTCAAAAAGTAGTCCATTCTTACTCCCACACAGTAGCTCATACAGTTAGGAATGTTTTCAATTCCAGGCTCACCTGGGGCCAACCTTCTTCTCTACTCCTTCAGGCCATGGAACAGGTTGTTCTTCACCAGCATGCACAGTTCTATTTCTTTTGTGGATGTGGGCATCCTTGGAATCACTCATTCCTTTAGGTCATGCCCACATGAGGACCCCTTAATGGTTTTTACGAGACCAGTGAAACATTTGCACAGATGCGCTGGATTGTCAAGTGAAACTGTCAGATTCTAGTTTGCTGGATCTCAGCTGGTGGTTGAACAGAAACAACCCAACTGTGGTGTCCCTCTGCCACCTTCATGGCCAGAGATACATCTGTTCACTGACCTTGTCTGTTGATGATTCATTTTGACAATTCTATGGTGGTAGCACATATCAATCACCAAGGGGGCACTCAGTTGAGTTGTATGTCACATTCTGGGTGTTTTCAGTCTCGTAACGGATCATCTTTCATGCCCCGACCAAATATATTCGACAGAGTGGTCTTTAAATCTCCTTATTTTCCAGTGGCTTTACAATCGATGTTGTTTTCCTTATGTAGATGCATTTGCCCCAAGCCTCAATCACAAGTTACCCCTCTTTTGGTCCCCAGTACCTTATCCTTGGGCTCTGGCTGTTGATGCTTTCAACCAGGATTGGTCCCACAAATTCCTTTATGTTTATCCTCCTATCCAATTATTTCTTTGAATGATCTCTCTCATCCATACTACTTCATGTCGAGTCCTTCTGATTGCTCCTTATTGGCCAGCTCAACTATGGTTTTCCACGATTATAACAACTGCAACTTTTCACTCCAATACCTCTTCCTTTGTCTCCCTCTCTTCTTCATCAACATTGGTCACCAGTTCTACATCCAGCCATTCACATCCTTCATCTTCTGTCTGGGTTTTATCTGGTCCCTGGCAAGGAGATCAGGTTTCTTTCATCAAGTAGCTTTCCATTTAGCTTGTTCCATACGTCTTTCTTCAATGGAGGTGTATCAGCATAAATTGAAAGTGTTCCATAGTTGGTCTGCCACTTGGAGATTCCTGGCCTGAGTGGTGGAGCTTCTCACATGACTTTACTATGGGGGAGGGGGGTCTTCAGTCTCCTCGCTCTCTGTTTATTCGGGCTGCCTTATTCCATACCTTTTGTTTTCCCGATAATGTCGAGTTTTTGCTTCCCCTGTCTTTACCATGCTAATGCGTTCCTTCCGGATTTGTTGTCCCCCCAAATGCTTACTTTTCCAGACTGGGATATTAATGTGGTCCTCCATTCCCTCACTTTACCTCCATTTGAACCACTTGTGTTTCATGTTTCACCTTTCCCTTAAAATGTATGTCCTTCTCCTCTTAGCCTGTGAACATCTAAGGTCAGATTTGTTTGCCATTGATGTTTCACATATGCTTTACCACTCTACCTATTTTCTATTTTATCCAGATTGTTTCTTCCTCCCAAAGACCTTAGTGGCTAGGGAGGGTAACTCCTCCTTTTTGCCTATTTCTCATCTCTACCCTCATTCCAGTCCGATAGTCTGTTCCGTACTCATTGTTGTTATTTTGCTCACATGGTTTCCTTTTGTGGTACCTGTTCCCAACTCTTTATCCCTTGGCAGCCTTCCTCTGTTTGGGATCTTACCCCTTCTTCCCTCACCAATTGAGTTGATTTTTTATTTGATTGGCATATTTGTCTTTGTCTTCTTCTTCCCGGAATTTGTTCCAGGTGTCTTCTTATCAGATTTGACACCTTACCTTTTCCCTTCCATCTCGTCTTCATCGGCTATTGGAGATAATCCTACAGTCAGGCATGTGGACTACACCTAATACATTTGTCTCCCAGTATTTACACCATATTGTGGTTTCTTCTTCATCAGGTTTTTATCTTCCACCTATGGCCATTCTTCAGGCTCCAGTGCAACTTTGACTATATTCATATATATATTTTTCCTTTCAGGGGGCCCTTGCTTCAATTACTCATTATATGGATCCCGCTCTGTAGCTGTCTATCCCTGCCATGCCTTGTATTGAATAAATCAGTGAGGTCTGCTTTTCAAAATAGGGTTTTGCGGTCACCCATTGCACTGTCTCAGGTGGTGACGTTCCTCCAGACTCTTCACCTCGTTCTCACCCCCCTTTCTTCTAGTGAAGTATGGGAATCCTTACCACTTTCCAGTTTCAAGCCGCTGGAGTGGTCAACCATGGAGGCACCATTCAGTGCAGTGTAGGGTGGTGGTGTTCTACAGGTCTAGATGATTTGATATCCTCCAATAAGCAATATTCACTCGCAAAGGAGTGAGACATCAAATTGCAGTTTACCTCTTCGATTGGCAGCCATCATCCTACCCCTACTTGGATGTTGGTACCCTGTAACTGGGTTTTGGAGTTAAGAGTAGAACCAATCAACACAAGTCCTCGCACATATTTATGGCTGTCAATATTCCTCCCTTGATCATACTCCTTCTGTATTGTAGGTCACATTGTTCTGGTTCTGTCCTTTTTGCTATCCTTCATTCTATTTTATTCCAAGGATGTTATTGCTTTTTGGATGGTTCTGGTCAGTCTTGCTGTTGGGGGAGTTGATTTATATTATATAGATATCCTTTCGATACCGGATGTCTGGTCTCTGGATTGATAGATCAAAGCTAACATGTGTCATTCTGAGTCAGAGTGGTTCTAGATTCCTTCCGGTCTCTTGAACTTGAGGTGAAGACAG